GTTTTAGTAAAATAAAACTATAATTGTATTGTTACATTTGTAAGGCGCCTTTCACATAGGGAGGACGTCCCAAGACGCTGGATATAATGTGTTCCCTGTTGGTCACAAGTTCAAACGGGTTTGGATAAAGAAGACCCTTTGGCCCATTTGATGTAATGCTTCCAGAATAGCCACCCTACTATCGTCCCATTATGGCATCAATTCAAAATGAATCCAGCGTCCTAGCCTCAATCACCCTTCCTGGCAACCAGTTGCAGTTGTTACTTACCCTGAGGCAAGAAAAGCTTAGCGGTGTCTGTCTTGAAATTACCTCTACAACTTCAAACCTATGTCCTCTTGTTCTACTGCAATCTGAAGAACTGTTCTGAGTTTACTTTTTCAATACCTTTAAAAATGTTACGCGCTTCTATAAGGTCCCCTCTGAAATGCCTCCTTTTAAGGTTCTTTGCACTTCAACTGCACAGAGCCATAAGTCTAAAATATCTATCGTGACAGCTGTGATCAACAGAATAACAAACGGATGCTCAAACTCTGCGAGACAGGTTATATTGGATGCATTTCAACATTCATGTAATGCTTTCCTGATTCGGTCTCTCGTTCCCATACCACTGTCTATGTCCTTGACTGTTACATTATACGTAGCTTTTTGCATCGGGAGGACGTCCCAAGGTGCTGGACAGTCAAGGATTTGCACCTGAGCTGGGAGTTGGATCCAGGGGTTTGGGGCCAATGGAGATGGGGGTTGGTGTTGGAAAGATGACCGAAGGCGCAGTCAAAGACATACCTTGAAGGAGACAAGGGAAGGGGCAAGGTGGAGGGATTCAACATGTGGGAAAATCTCTTAGGAGTGGATCTGATGAGACACCAGGTCTTTTTATCTCTTTTCTGTATGTATCTAAACAATCTACAGCTTCATGGTAACCTCATTAGGGTTTCCCCAGCCCTCTGCCACATCAGAAACATTAACCTACATTTTTTTTGCTTTTAGATGCTGATTCACCTGTTAATGTTAATGAGGTTTGCAACAATGCAGATACATGTTAGAAAAGGAAACTTTCAGTATGTATTTTCTTGAAATGAAGAAACTCATCAAAGGATTTTTTTAAAATAAGAAATAAAAGACCTATCGCTTCATAAACATTTCTGATCATTCTGAAAGATCTCCAACACTTTGACTGATATCTATCCAATGGTCTGCTACGCAGGTTCTGAAAAGAAAGTAAGAAATTCTTCAACTTACTGTATAATAATACTGGCCTTGTCCACTAACATGAATTGATAATTCACTAAATGTTATATCCAGCAAATTTGATCTTATGTTAAAGATCAAAGACTTTGATCTTCCAGGAAATCTAGAAAAAACTGAGTGAAGTCGTGCTGTACATTTTCAACTGATGTATATTGATCTCAAAGAGCGCCACATTTTCAGAAGTGACATCCTTGGGTTAACCTGAGGTCCCGCTTAACTGATCATGTGGAAATTAAAGATCCCACGACAACTATTCGGAAAGAGAAAGAAGTTTTTCCTGGTGTACTGGCCGACAATCTTCCAAATTCACTTTATGGCTCTTTGTGGGATATTGCCACATGCAGATCAATTACTGCAAATTTAATTGCAGGTACACTATTGCTACGCCGTACCAATGTTCCTTGTAAAAACAACAACAACAACAAGATTACATTTGTATAGCGCCTTTCACATCGGGAGGATGTCCCAAGGTGCTAAAAAGGGCTTTGAGACAGTTGCTTTTGGTCAGCTGGTTGTCTGACATTGCCATTCTTTAGAGTATCCAAATCAGAGGATATGAGATATTTCAACGTATGGGACACTATATCAAATGCAAGGGTCATTGCAACAACAACAACTTGGATGTATATAGCGCCCTCCACACCGGACGGCGTCTCAGAGCGCTTCACAGTAACGGATCCCGGCGCCGAGCCAGCGGGAGGAGGAGGAGCCAGGGGGGAGGGGGGGGAAGGTGACCAAAGGCGCGGTCGAAAAGAAAGGTCTTCAGCCGAAGACCAGAAAATAGGAAGAGATGGGACGAGGCGAAGAGAGTGAGGAAGGGAGTTCCAGAGCCTCGGGGCATAGTGGCTGAAGCACGGCCGCCGAGGGTGGAGCGGAGGACTCGGGGGACGAGGGAGGAGGCCAGACTCGGAGGAACGAAGGCAACGGGCACTGTTTTGAGGAGAGAGGAGGTCAGAGAGGTCGGGGGGTGCAGAGGAGTGCAGGGACTTGAAGACAAGAGTGAGGATCTTGAAGTCGATCCTCTCTGGGATAGGCAGCCAGTGCGGTCTGGCCAGGACTACAGTAATTGGAGAGTGGAGTTTGGTGTGGGTAAGAATGCGGGCAGCAGAATTCTGGATGACCCGGATTTTATGAATGGTTATTGTTATTATCCTACATAGCACAAAGAAATTCTCATCTCTGCACGAGGGTTGTGTCCACTGGAGGGCAGAGTCCACAGGCAAAAGTGGCAGACAATTATACAAACTGTCATGAAATGATTAACCAATTTTATTTGGGAGTATCATGGGATCTTTAACATCTTGGACAGGACATACCTATCTTCCAAAGAGCAAACAGAAGGTGGAAACGAGTAGGTGAATTGTTATTGATTTTACAAACATATATGCTATATAAATCAATAGTTAGGGACTTGATGCAGCAAAAAGTTTAATGTGATGATCAGGTAAAGGAACGAAGTTTAGAATACTAATACAAATGATGGCCAGTTAGATATCATTGCACTTTGACACAACATCACCAATGTTACTGTAACTGGTACGTTAGAATTATTCTTGAAGATTCACAAGACTTTCACATTTTTCCTCCTTCCCTATCTACCTCCCTCTGGAAAAGCACTTAGCCCCCACTCATCAACATTAATAATAATAATACTTGCATTTGACGTAGCGCCCTCGTCACGGTTTTGAGACTTCTCAAAGCCCTTCACAGGATGAACTGTAAAAGTGAATTGACTGTATATTTTGTGGGCGAAACGCGGCAGCCAATTGCGCACAGCAGCGTCCCCACAAACAGCCGTGGGTTGAGTGACCAAATTATTATATATATTATTATATATATTTTAATTACACCTGGAAAAACGATCCGCCAATCAACTAACAGGTGGGTTCCTGCTTACTACTAGGTAAACAGAGGTGCGCGGAGTAAGGAAACCTGCCTAAGGTTTCGCCCTGCATGACACATGATGAGTGTATCGCTGTCAAAGAGGACCTTTTCTTGCTTTAGATCTAACTCTAAAGATTGCAATTTACATTTTCCTGGAACTGTATTGCTTGAAAGACAACATTACGACATATCGATATCGTTAAATGACCTCAAATACCTTTGCCCTGAAAGGGTATCCGCATCAGCCTTATCATGTTCTTTCGACTACAATGACTGATGAAAACAAGCGCGTCAACAAATAATTTACAGAAACTGGATCACCATTGATCTTATCTGCTTGAAGGGATATCCAACAGCCTGAGGTTTAACCTTGCGTAAACACTAAATAACAATACAGCAACAGCTTCACAAACTCTCACAATTCAAAGGAAAAATATGTTCCATTTGGGATGCAGGGAGGAGAACGGAGGGATTAATGGGCCCTAACATGCACTAATTGTGGAACAGCAAACGTCGAATAGTTAAACTTGGATCCGCTCTGTCATAAACTCTCTGGTATTCCCCTCCTTTCTCAACATTCCACAGGGACCGCTCCCTCCGTGACTTCCTGGTCCATTCCTCCAGGATCACTAACACCTGCTCTCCTTCCCCTGGCACCTTTGCACGCCAGCACAGGTGATGCCACGCATGCCTGTACACCACCGCCTATACCAGGGCCCTGAACACTGCTTCTGGGTGAAACAGCAAATTTACATGTACTTCCACTAACCTAGGAAACAGTAGTCACTGCCCATGACATAGTCCCCTCTACATCGGGGAGACCAAACTCTGATCAGGTGGTCACTTTGCCAAATTCACCAGCTCGGGTGCAGATCCTCGACTGTCCAACGCCTTGGGATGTCCTTCTGACACGAAAAGCACTATACAAATGTCATTTGTTGTTCTTGTTTTCCATCCTCAAGTGCAACCCTGAGCTTCCGGTGCCTTCCCACTTTAATTCTCCTTCCCACTCCGAGCTGGCTGTCCATGGCCTCCTACGCTGTTCCAAAGAAGCACAAGGCAAGCTCAAGGAACAGCACCTCATCTACCTCCCAGGCACCTTACAGCCCTCTGGCCTCAACATTGATTTTAACCACTTCAGACCTTAAGCACAGCTCCCAACTATTCTCAGCCTTACCTCTCCCACTCCCCTTTCTCCTTTTCCCCTTATAATCTGCTCCCTTCCAATATCCCCCATTTCTGACGAAAGGTCATCGACCTAAAACATTAACTCACTGTCCTCTCCCCATAGATGCTGCCTGACCTGCTGAGTGTTTCCAGCCACTTCTGGGTTTATTTCAGATTTCCAGCATCTGCAGAGTTATTTTGCCTTTTGCGGCAGGAATATCCCTGTATTCACACATTTCAATTAGAGGAAATGTTACTTGTAGTCTAACTGTGAGAAAATACAGCTGTGGAATGTTGGAGGGCAGTAACAATAATAATCCTTGCATTTGATATTTAATTTAATCCTAATCCTTGCATTTGATATAGCGCTTTTCACATCTTCTAGACGTCCCAAAGCGCTTCACAGAATATACTGTAAAGTGAATTGACTGTATATTTGTGGGCGAACACGGCAGCCAATTGCGTACAGCAATGTCCCACAAACAGTCGTAGATTGAAAATGACCAATTTACTATTGTTTTGGGTTTTTTGGAGGGATTATTATTAGGCTCTGTGTGGAGTAAGGAAACTTGCCCAAGGTTTCGCCCTCTGCCTGGAATTGAACTCAGGTCTCTCGCTTGCAAAGCGAGTGCTCTAACCACTGAGCTACAGGACTCCACTATATACAGGATATAGCGTAATTGCCACAAACACGCAAAGATTTTGCATTTTGAAGATTTTATTACCGGACATTACAATTTACTATGCATGTATCAAAATTCTGAGAAACCAATCAGTAGAAGCTAAAGTACATGACAGGAAAATGGAGCGATAAACTTTATGAGCCATGTTAACATGCCAAAAGATAAGACACAAAGCAACCACAATGTATGCTATACTGTACAAAGCCCAGATAATAATGTAAGATACGGTTTGATACCATTCCCCAGCAAAGATAACCTGCCCGACAATGCCTGCAGTCTCCCGAAATTGTGAATAGAGGTTTGCCCGTGGAAGAACTCTCTTGCCCCGACATTGGCTTACTGCAGTGTGTTTTGATACTCAAACATGTAAGCCACCACTTTTGGTTCTGCAACCCAGAGGAGAGGACGTCACAGTTTGCCAAAAAAAGACAGCAGGCATTAAACATAGAAAAGTTGAATCAGAATCAACATAAAATCCCGGGACGATTTGAACAGAATCCATAGTTCATTCCATCAGGTTATCCCATCAGGAAGGTTGGACCCATTAATCCTCCATTAAGATTTAACAAGTGACAGGCAATCATTTACCTAAAAATAGATGGAAGTCCAATTAGGTCCAAGACATTTACAAAAAGCCCTAGAGTTACTTTGCTCCATTCCAGACTCCAGTTGCGCTCTATTTTCTGCTGAGGTGTGTACATTAATACAGCACCTCAGCAGAAAATATAGTACGTAATCTGTGTTACATACGTATGCACCTAAAATGCCGATGCCAAATCTAACAAACTGATTCTGATTCCACTCTTTTCCAACACTAGGCAGGCCCGAGCTAATGCTTAGTTATGAGAATTGTACTTTGGGTGGGTGCGCTCAAATCCTTTCTCCATATTGCCATATTTTGTCAGATAACGTGAGTGATGTAGTTTCATCGGTCAATTTCTCCTAAGAAACAATGAATGGGTATCTGGCTGTGCTTATTTCCCCAGTTCTGATGAAAGGTCATCGAACTGAAACATTTACTCACTTTCCTCTCTCCATAGATGCTGCCTGAGCTGCTGAGTGTTCCCAGCGACTTCTGTGCTTAAATTTCAGATTTGCATCTGCAGTATTATGCCTTTTGTCCTTATTTCCTTCTCAAGGCCGAGGGGCATCATCTTTTCATTCTGCTTACTGCTCTGTTTCCATCCACTTCCACCCATTCACATTGTCTCGTACTCTCCTCTTTCTTTGCCCAACCTACGGTGGGCAGTATTAAATCAGTATTAAATATATTAAGAAGGGTCGTTACCCTTTTGTTTTGCCAAACAGAATAAAATTCTGAAAATCACTCTTCCAAATCGATTAGAAATTATAACACAACACAAACACTGACAATCAACAAATTGACTTAATCACCTGAGTTCAAAAGATACGAAAGGAACATTTCCTTGGAAACTGAGAAACAAATGTTCTGTACCATTAAATCATATGCAAAATGTTATCTTTCAAATCATCAGCGTTTAATGATCAGCACCATAACACCTGCATTTGATATTTGCATTCGAGATATCTCAAAGCACTTCACAGGACACACTGTAAAGTGAATTGACTGTGTGTTTTGTGGGCGAAAATATGAACCGTGAACCAAACTAATGTTTATCAAATTGCCTAATGTTAACATTAGATTAATTAAATTAAATTAAATGATGAATTATAATAAAACGTTCATTGCCAAATCCTGCAGGAATAGCAAAATAACAAGGTCCACGATCTGGACAGAATTGCCTGATGTGATGCAAACATAAGTGCTGTTTGCATCCAAAAAGATGTCCCCCCACTTTGCAATGTCACTCCAGTCTGTTCTAACAGTCAACTGATAAATAGTTCTGTCCTCACAAGATCATAAGATTGGCTTGGATGAAGAGGGTACTTTGGCCCATCCGATCGTATCCGTCCAGCACAGTCTTAAGCTTTTTTTAATAATTTTTTAATATAATTTAATTTTAATATAATGAGTCCAGAGTTCTGGCCTCAACCACCCTTTCCTGCCATCCTGTTTCAGTCATTCATTGGCTTCCAAGAAACGATCCCTGGAATCGTTCCTGAATCACGCTTTACGACTCTATGTTGTCTTGTTCTACTGTCTTGCTGCATCCTAAAATATCGATCTGAGATTAATTTTTCAATCCCATTTAAAGTGGCGTCATAGAATCTTACAGCACAGAAGGAGGCCATTTGGCCCATCGTGCCAGTGCCGGTTATACACCTCTATGAGGTCCCCTCTTGAGTCTCGCAAGACTGAAGAGCCCGAGCTTGTTTAATCATTGGTCATAACTTATTCCTCTAACACTGCAGATCATCCTCATCGCTCTCTTCTGTACAGCCTCTTGGGGCTAAACAGTATTTAATAATAATCCTTGCATTTGATACAGAGCCTTATCACATCTTCGAGATGTCTCAAAGCGCTTCACGGGATATACTGTAAAGTGAATTGACTGTATATTTTGTGGGCAAGATCTTTCTACTCGGTTCCCAAGATTTCATAGTCATGTAAGTGCAAAGAATAATCACATTAGTTTAACCTGGTTAGTAAGGAACAGACAGAGCAAGAGCTGGCCACGGACAGGACTGTGTAGTGGGTCCTATCTGTGGCCAGCATTTGGGAGATGTTGGACCATGACACGGAAGCAGATTGAACAGATACAAGGAGGTAGAAAGTGCTTGGTGAGGTAACAGCTGGAATGCAATAGAAGATCAGTCTGGCCCACTTTAAGCCCACAACGTGCATTAGTCCAAATTTTCCCATTCAAACAACCTGTAATAAGCCCCACAATTTCTCTCTCACATACAACTAACTACCTCCCTCTTCTATGAAGCCTATATCAAATGCAACAATCATTAACAATGCTTGCAGTTAAAAAAAAAGTTGCTTTTGCCACTTAACAAATACCAAAGTGCTATTCGAAATATAAATCAATATGTTAATAGTGTTACAATCAGAACTGCTCAATACATTATATACACACACACAGATTAACACTTTTAGCATTTCAAATCAATCGTACCCCCCAAGATATTCATTGTTTGTGGATTAATTGTGCAAAAGAATCACTGTCTCAGTTTGTTGACAACCTTTCAGAGTGGTTGGATATCTGCTGTTTTGTGTCCTTTGGAAATATTGCTGATAACCTTTGCAATACAGCTCAGTCTTTGGTCATCTCAGCAAACGTACATTTCTCATCTCAAGTTTGCAGATTAACATCAGACCCTAGTGAACTGAAGTCTCGATTTGTGTTTTGAAAAGTCTGATCAGCTATTGACAGGAGCGCAGTGTTACAATCGACCACACGTCTGACAAATGTCAGTAGTCAAGTGTTGGGTTCTGGTTCTGTTTGTTGTCCCCGTATTGCTTTCAGAGAGAGTTCGTATCCCAGGAACATAGCTGCACTCATGGGGAATCCACGAATAGCATTCACAGTCGTTCCTCTAAAAAATACCTGATAAATAACGAAGAAAATTAGGACCTTCACACAGCCGTTTTGAAATTGTACATCGTAATGTTATCAATGTTAAGAAAAATAATAATAATAATAATAATTTGGTCACTTCAATCCACGACTGTTTGTGGGGACGCTGCTGTGCGCAATTGGCTGCCGCGTTTCACCCACAAAACATACGGTCAATTCACTTTGTAGTATATCCTGTGAAGTGCTTTGAGACTCTAGAAGAAGTGATAAAGTGCTATATCGAATGCAAGGATTATTATTATTATTATTATTATTATCATCATAAAACATAAAACACGAGTGAAATTCCCAATTTATTTTGTAATGCTATTTACCTTGCTTGCTCTCTCACCCCACCCCATTGCTGGGTGTTTAATAAGGCAGGCTGTTTACTCTGCATTGAATCCATTTGGCCTTATTATAAAAACATTTCCAGCACCTAAACGTACAACACCGTATCATTTGAGCCTCAGTCAGATTTGTTCAACAGATATTTATTTTACACATCACTTACTCTCAATCCTTCCTTGTGATAACTTTGGCGGATACAATGTAATACCCCTTTATATTTGGTCTCCAAGACACCATCGGCTTGAAGACGACTTTTGATGACATCCATTGGAGTTGAGGTTCCCCATGAAATCGTTCCTAAAACGGAAAGAAGTAGTCAAATATCACAACTCACAAACTTATTGAGGCAATTGGGCGGTGCAGTGTGTTAGCATTCGGAAAAGACTGGGGCCATCACCCATTTGTCTTGTCAGTCGAGTAACAGTTTGGAGTTGGAGAAAGGAATTGCGGTGGTTTTGGGGGACAGTATATACTTAGTTTTCATATCTGAATTCAGAGAAATTAATTCTCTATCAACATAAGTGAAACTGTATTTGATGGCTGTTTGCACAGGGCTGTTATGGTTAGCAGGTGGTGGATATAAAACAAACCTCATAGCTCAGGGAGTAGGTTGGCTGTAGATAGATTGCAAAGGCAGAATTATTTTTTTTTGTTTAAAAATACTTTTAATTCCTCATCTGTTCATGTCCTGAAAGGTATTTGACATTCCTTAGCTGAGAGGGTGGTGGTAATTCCCTGATAACTCCCTCCCAGCCTCCTTGTAACTTAGTTTTAAGGAGGTTTAAAAAAGTGCTCTCAGTATACACTCTCTGATTCTCAGTCTCTCCTTCATAGAAACAGGAGGAGGCCATTCAGCCCCTCGAGCCTGTTCCGTCATTCTATAAGAACATGGCAGATCTGTACCTCAACTCCAATTACCCGCCCTTACCACCCTGACCTAACAAATATCTAACTACCTCAGTCTTGAAAACAGTGAAGTGTTTGAACTCTTCCCTGTACCTTATCACAGTGAAACAGAAGGGAACAGGAAGTCTGCACCACCCAGTGGTTCGATTTGTTAAATAATAGAACACATACAGCAAACATACGGTACATATCATCTCGCAATAATACGTACAAGGGAGGGAAGGCTTCCCTGTAATTCAATGTCAGAAATAACCTGGTAATACTTCAGCTCTTACATGACAAATCCAACATTCCTTGCGGTCTTACATCAGGTAATATCTGGAAACAGTAACAGAAACACAGCACCCCAATAATAATGATAAACACACACACACACAAAACACAGAGTAAGAAACACTCCTCGGCGAATTAACCAGGGAATAACCCAACCTCAGAACTCAGACAGATATTGCTGTCGTCCATGAGTGGATTGCTGTATTATTAATTCACTCAAGAGGCATCAGTTACCCTCAGAGTAATGGATTGTAATTGATTCCCTGGTAATACAGTACTGCTGGAACAATCATATGTTTCCACTCTCATCCAAGCCCACAGCACTGAGATCATTGAAAGAAACGATGCCATTTTAACTTTTAGAAGCACGCACAGAATCGATCCAATCACAAAAACACTCCAGGGAGGGAAATTCTGACTATAATTCAAAATCATGTAATGTAACTGAATAATCTGAGAGTTTCCCCTCGGACCGGATTGCAGCTTTGTAACTCACTTTTCAGGGTTCGTGAAGTGCAGGTGTATAAATAAATATACCAAATGTCACAGGCAATGAAAGGCATCCATACAAAGACATTAAACCGTGTCCTGATCAGGAACAAGGTTACATCAGCATGAAGTACATCAATGATTTAGATGAGGAAATACAGCTTAATGTATCTAAGTTTGTGGACGATACAAAGCCAGGTGGGAAGTAAACTGTGAGGAGGACACAAGGGGGAGGCAAAGGGATATAAACAGGTTAAGTGAGTGGACAAGAAGGTGGCAGATGGAGTATAATGTGGGGAAGTATGAAGTTATTCACCGAGGTAGAAAAAACTAGAAAAGCAGATTANTTTTTAAAGGGGGAGAGACTAGATAGTGTTAGTATTCAGAGGGATTTAGGTGTCCTTGTACACCAATCACAGAAAGTTAGTATGCAGGTACACCAAGCAATTAGGAAGGCTAATAGCATGTTAGCGTTTCTTGCAAAGCGGTTAGAGTACAAGAGTAGGGAAGTCTTACTGCAATTGTACAGGGCCTTTGTGAGACCGCACCTGGAACATTGTGTGCAGTTTTGGTCTCTTTATCTAACAAAGGATATATTCGCCTTAGAGGGGGTGCAACGCAGGTTCACTAGGTTGGTTACTGGGATGAGGGGGTTGAAAGGGGAATGTATCATAAAGGAAAGTAAACCCCATGTGTATGAAGTTATGACTACTGCATGCTGCTTGTATGAATAGCCCATGTTTGCACATGATGCAACGTGTTAAACTGTATCCTAACAATGCATTCTTCAATCTTTCCATTACTGAAATAATGATTTACTGGATATAATTTAGATGTACATCTATTTAGATCCACGTGATCACCCCATTACACAGCCCTGCTATTCATGGGAATTTACAAACTAGTATTAGCAATAGCAGAAGTGAAAATAATGTAAATGACTCACTCCGAGTCACCCGGGAATCATTATATTATTATAAAGTATTTTCCTCTTCTATTTCAAAGGAGCTATGTTTGCTCTTTCTATTTGAGATAGTGTCAAGACTGCGGAAACAGATCAAACCTGTTTATTGTGTTTACATTAAATATTAATGGGTCAGACCAAAGGGAGGATCACATGATTGGTTTGGAGGAAGAAGGCCCTTCGGTCTCTCTCCGATCTCATCCCTTCACAATACTCTACATAACCGTCCCCCGATGACAGCTTCAAACTGCCTCTTAAAATTAGTGCATTGCCCTGACCTCAATCACCCTTCCTAGTAACCTGATCCATAGAAACAGGAGGAGGCCATTCAGCTCTTCAAGCCTGTTCTGCCATTGGATAAGATCATGGCAGATCTGTACCTCAACTTCAATTATCCATTCTTCAACTATCTTGACCCAACAAATATTCATCTACCTCAGTCTTGATGATGTGAATGGATCCAGTATTCATAGCCTTTTGAGGGAAAGAGTTCTAGATTTTCATTACCCTTTGGGTGAAAAACTGCTTCCTGATTTCACTCCTAAATGGCCTCGGAGTGCCACTCGTTAATTACTCTCTGAGTAACTATGTATGGCCTATAGTTCAACTTTTCAATGAAGTAAACTTTTCTAGCGTAAATTGATCGGATAAAATGTTGATGATTGAATGATTATCAAGCTAATAGTAAATGGACTAACTATACGGGTACCCCAGGGTTCGGGTTATTTGGGGGAGGGGGCGTCAGTCTAAGAAACTGGAACTGTTTGGAAAGGTTCCTTTACGCAGGCAAGTCAGCCCCCTGTGGACTATCTACTTTACAAGCTTCATGCTTTGCTCTTTCTTACAGCGAAGTTGATTTTTTTTTATTAAACTTGGTGAATTTTCGTGTTCATCAGAGAAACAGATGTCAGCCCTTAAGAGATGAAAGGTTTCCCATTACAGGCGCTTGGGGTCAACAACAAGCGCATATGCAGGTCACGTTTAGCAAAGCTGCAGAACTCTACTCCAACAATATCCCTTTAACTCCAGCATCAGAGGATGCGGGTAATGTGAACTTTTCTCCCGTGGCAGCCATCCTCAAACCTCTCTGACAGTATGATTGACAAGTTAATGCTGAAACAGGGCAGTTTTGTTCTCCGAGCCTTTGCCCCACTAGAAACGTGGTTGGGGCCTAGACATAAACATCATTCTACTGGCTGTAAGTATTCTGAGTTTAATCAGCATAATTCAAACCCAGAGGTCATTCATTGTGCTATTCAAATGCATTTTGCATGTCATCTAAAAGTCCAAATTTGTTTAATAATACACAAAGAGCAATGTTGCTGCAACACGAATGGTGTTATCCCACAATCTTCTCAACTTTCAAGACGGGTAAAATCACACACAAGTCATTTTACCAGCACAACGGTCCCTCCTCAAGTCAGAGTTCGTGTTCTCAAAGCTGCAACCACCGAGAATCTGTGAGACAAGAATCTCCCTGAAGAGAGTCCTGCTCGGTGTAGGTCTGCCTCCCGATCGATACAAGTCCTCGCAGGTCAAACACTGCAGTTGAGGCCTCATTACCTTAAATTACTTGCGATCCAGTGATCTCACTAGTTCATCTGTGATACATTCTGCACACATAGATTTCTATCACGTACCTACTTTGCCGACCGAAAAAAAAACAGTCCAACTTGTCATTGCTCCATGCACCATAAACAAAACCGTAATAATAATATGGTCACTCAATCCACGATTGTTTGTGGGACGCTGCTGTGTGCAATTAGTTGCCGCGTTTCGCCCACAAAATACGCAGTCAAGTCACTTTACAGTATATTCTGTGAAGCGTTTTGAGACGTCTCGAACACATGATAAGGCGCTGGATCAAATGCAAGGATTATTATTGGGCAGAAATTATATAGAAGTATTGAAGGTTAAGCGGGTGACCGAGACGAAGCTGCAGAATCACCAGGTGAATGATATATATAAGGCTGGTTTGGATTGAACCGCAGTAAAAGTCAAAGCAGTGGATTGGAAATACTTTTCCTTTGCTGGGTGACCAGATCATCAGTGTTCTCTGAGCTAAGACACCGACGTCCGTATCTCGTTCATCGCTAAAAATAGTATTTTTTTTAATTCTGATTTTACAATTTTTTAAAAAAATCATTAACAACAACATTCTTTAACCAGTTTAAAACCCAAAGCTTCTTTCCTTTGTAAGCGATCAGTGTAAGTTAATACAACCATCTCACATGAACGTCAGCAAGTTATTTATCCACTGGGCTTTTTTCAAGAGCTCTAGGACGCTACGCTGTGTGAGGGGCACTATATAAGTGCAAGTTGTTGTTGTTGTCATGCGTAGCTCAGTCTGCGCGCTCGATAATCCAGTCTAATACCCTCCCGATTCTGTACGACTGATCCGAACAATCTGACCAGATAAATCAAACAAAATAGTCACGTAGAAATGTACAAAACTCTTACCTGCTACACCACCAGCCAGCCACACAGAGCAAGCACTGGGAGTGCTGCTCCCCTCAGCTGTCATCCAGTTACACAGCAACATGTACGGAACAAAGTATAAACAATATCCTGGAACATCCCTGAGGACCATAGCTCCAACTCCTCGGTACATCCCGGGAATCCCTTCGTTCCGCAGGATGCTGCTAATGCAGTGTACAGGGCCCCTGTAAACAGCCTGATCAGGCATGGCAATTGAGCGAATGGAACCAGTGCCCACCAAATTTAGTTTAGCTGCAGAAGCACAAGAAATATATTTCACATGTTTTGAACGTTTAATATTCCGAACGTTTATCTGCATTCTCATCACAAGTGTGACACAAAATAGACAAGGTAAAGGTGTGGAACAGCCTGCACCTGGAGCAACGTTCATACAATTTCACACGTTTTTAATACTTTTGTACTTCAAACGATTTGATTTCGCAAAACCGAATGACGCACCGGTTCAGCCCATTTTGTTTCATCACTGGAATCCGAGTCTGAGCACAATTGGTAGAATCAATGCCTGTCAGTGCTAAGAATCTTACGTAAATGTCTCACCCCAACTTCTGATGATCGTACAATACGAAATTACATTATGCAACTCAGAGGTGTCGTAAGAATGCCTGGCTGCGGAAACACAAGTACCACATCACTACTCAAAGGGTTGTTCTTTGAGATTAGGGTCTAAGGTGCACTGTTGTGTACAACGAGGAGTTTGACTACAGCTGCGTGATACTGTCTGACTTGGCAATGCTTGACGTGGAACAAAAAATATAATTCAAACGATGTCACTCGAGGACTGACATTCAGAATTCTTATCGAGTATATATTACCATTTTGGGGGGAAAAGAACACAAGCTCAGTTTGAAAAAAAATTACACAAATACTACTACCTATGTAGGAGCCAAATAACACAGAAGTATCTTATCCCACATTTAATGTGATGTCTGTCTGCAAACACTTGTATAACAATGTTCTTGTCTACAAATTATGATATTTGTAATCTACGAAATCTTAACCTGGCAATAGGTTTGTGATCAATGACTTATCTGATTTAATGATTTGCAAATCTAATCTCATAGTGAAACCTCACCAAAATACTTGATTGTATCTTTCAAACCCCTTCCCAGTGTTGCACTTCATGAATCTCGTTCACAGTTGTTACAAATTAGTAGATTTGTGTTTGCAAAATACTTTGTCGTGTATAAGTAAAGCCTCCTAACATTCTCCTAGACAACCAAACAAAGGTTATAAACTCAGTCAGGCAAGGTAGATTAATCTTGACTCATGAAATAGCACACAAGGAGCACAAAGTCTTATCACTAATGTCCACACCCTAGTACAAATGACACTATACCCATTGTGTTTAGTAACCTCTTGACAATTTTAGGATATTTAATGTTGCATCCAAGACAACATTTTGTCCTCACGGGAGTGCATTGTTTACTTGGACCAACTTTATGTAGGATACATTGGATTATTGATCTTCGTGGATCTTCGATGATCAAAGAACATTTTATCTTTTTCAAAAAAGGACATTGTAGAATTCTTCCGCCCATAGGAAAGGTTACCCGTAGTTTATTCAAACACAGGGCTGTGAATAAGTGCTTTTGTTCACCACAGTACCAGCCAACAAGTCCAACAATGATTGATCCGAATAAACCCACTGCTTTCTGCAATCAGTGAACTTCCTATATTACAAATCCCAAAACCTGCAGAACAAATTGCCAGAACAAATAAAACAGGACGCCAATTGACGTTAGCTATGAACATTCTCCTGTGCAGTTTCAAACGACTAGTTAAATTTATGTTAAAATATTATTTAATACGTTGAATAAAATTATTAGGATTTGGGCTACAAATACTTGCAGGTCTAATACGTCAACAGAAGTGTCGGACATCACCCTGAAAGTGACGTCCCCTGAAAGTCGGGGGGGGGGGAAAAAGGGCACGGACTCCTACAGATTATTGCGCGGCGAGTATTGCGAACAAATGACTGATGAGATTTTGTGACAGAGATCAGGACAGCTGGGCAGTTGCTCTTGACAGCTTAACAGTCTCCTAGCATTCCATTAACATACACACACACATCACCCCCATCCCAACCGTCAGATGGCAGAACCACACTGGTCCTATAAATCTTACTGGTTCAATGAAACCTGGTCATCAAATTTACAGCTGATTGTCTACTGTGCCAATGATGGCAATAGCCCTCAACCAGGGCCTGTTGTTGCAAATGGAAGGGCCGATGTGACACAATGTCCTTCAGAGGCTTTTTCTGTCCTGCGGACGTTCTAACCTCCGAGTCCAGTAAGTGAACAGCGACAGACTTTCTAATAGAAAAATATACAAAAGCCTTCCACCCAGCTTCCGTGCCATGACCCGCTCTGCCATCCCTCACCTCCGCAACATCATCCGGCTTCGCTCTCATCACCTCTCCACTCAGGCCGCCGAGACCCTCGTCCAGGCATTCGTTACATCCGCACCAGGCTCTGTGACCCCATCAGCCCCACCCTCGCATGGCTCCACTGACTCCCCATCCCTCAGAGGACATCCTTCCTACCTCTGTGACCTGCTGACACCATAATTGACCTGTCCGCTCACCTCCACTCAGCAGTCTCCAGCCTGCTCCAGGTTCCCCGCCTTGCCCTCAAGGCACGGCTCAAGACCCTCCTCTTCAATTGCGTCTTCGGCCACCCTCCTACCTCTACCCTCCCTGCCCTCCACCCTCACTGATCCCAAACCCCACCCCCCCCTCCCCCTCACTGCTCGGGTCTAAATCCCTGACTGTCCAGTGCCTTGGGATGTCCTCCCGTCATGAAAGGCGCTTTACAAATGTAATAATAATAATCCTCGAGACGTCTCAAAGCCCTTCGCAGGATACACCGTAAAGCGAATTGACTGCATATATTGTGAGCGAAAGCACTCGATGTTTCACAAGAGCCCGATGGATATTAATTGTTACTGGATGAATTGCCACAGGACATTGCTACTGGGCAAATGAAACCGGACAGACAAGTTAAGTGCAAACTTCATTCTAAACAAACTGGATTTATCACGTGTGTCAGTCTGAACAAGTCGGAATTATCTGTACAATAACAAAACGTTATTACAGTCTTGAACTGTTGCCTGGTGGCACTGTGAGGGACAGAGGAAAGAGGCAGCAGCGTGGAGGGGAGGGGGGAGATAACAAACGAGGGACACATATTGATGGATTGACGGGAAATATTCAGAGCATGCAAGACTTGGGAGACGTTTTGAATACAGGTGATATTTCAATTCGAAAGAGAGAGAGAGCGAGAGAGCGCGAGGGAGAGAGAGAGAGAGAAGGGTGGGGTGGGGGAGAGAGAGAGAGAGAGAGAGAGGGTGGGGGGGGGGGGGGGAAGGGAGGAGCGGGGAGGAATACATCAGGTAAATGGATGTTACCTGTGGAAACAGGTTGCGTCTGCATCTGTAGCCGGATCTTCACCAGATCGACAGGGGCTCCGATCGTCACGGTGACAAGTCCCACCACGGCGCTGGCAGCCGTCAGATCAGCCAGAGACGGGGTCTGGCGACACTCGCCGTAGCGATACTGACAGATGAGCCTCTGCGTGTTGCTGAACACACCGAGAGCCAGCGAGTTGTACAAGGCCACGGAGGCCAGAGGGAAGGACAGCCCTTTGAAGAAGCCCACAGCCTAGAAGTGCATCAGGAACAGACAGGCAGACATATATATATATATATATCACTGCAGTTAATCCTCACTCTCTCTCTCTCTCTCTCTCTTCATTTGGGTTCTAACAACAAAAACAACAACTTGCATTCAATAATAATAATAATTATAATCATCCTTGCGTTCGATATATCAAATAAAGCAACATATCAAACAATCACACTTGTCACATCCGCCAGATGTCTCCAAGCGCTTCAGTGGATATACTGTAAAGCAAATTACACTCGTATAGCACCTTTCACGTCAGGAGGGCATCCCAAGCCCCTGGAGTGAATTGACTGTATATTTTATGGGCGAAACGCGGCAGCCAATCGCGCACAGCAGCGTCCCCACAAACAGCCGTGGGTTGAGTAGCCAGATTATTATTATTATTATTATTATTTTACTTATTGATGTATTTATTTGGATAGCGCCCTTCACGCCAGAAGACATCTCGGAGCGCTTTAAGAACACGAAACAGGGCAGCAACAAATAATAAGACTTACGTGTTCATTCTTAAATATCCTCAGCACACATTGCAATGTGTTTTTGTACCCTTCCCCAGCCTGCAAGCGAGCCTGAAATATATATGTTTTAAGGGCAGAAACTTTAAACACAGTTCCAAAATAAAAGTTTTCAGCCTCCACCCACCCACCCATCCACCCACCCTTATTGTCCCTGCAAAGTTGTCTGTCTTCCTTTATTTTTTATGCAAAAAAAAACAGGTTTAAGATAGGATGTCTTGTGTTCTTAATAGTTAACACTAGATTGAAATGAATGTGATGGATAAATTTACCTTGACTGTATCAAGTGGGTGGCCAACAATCACACTTGCTGCTCCTAACAGGAAAATAAGAGGCGTTTTTGGTGTTTTAAGATAAAAGAACTTTGTGCTTTCAATGAAAGAAAAACATCACTTTCTACAAGTAAAGGTGAGCAGGGAAAAGCTGGGGGGAAAAAAAAGCAACTTTGCAACTTCCAAACACAGGGTCAATAACACACAGGAAAATACAACCTGAATAAATCCTCTCACTCACCTCCTATCCATCCAGCCAGGAAATCGTCCAATTGAACAGTATCCATGTGTAACCAACCCCTTTAACTTCTTGCAGTAAACTCTGTCTCCCCACCCACACCCCCATCCACTGATTGAGGGGGTGATGTGTGTGTGTGATGGGGGGCAGCAGAGGAGGGTGTCTTGAATGTCCCTTTAAACTTGTGCTGTTGTGTGAGCTCTCCCTCACTCTCACTGTCTCTCTCTCTCCTCCACAGCTCTGGCACAGAGCAGTAGACACTTTGACTGTGTGCAGAGACAAAGAATGCCAACAGAGTGGATCCCAACTCAGATCTGGACTGATTGAGGCAGATGGAAGGTCTTCCACACCCACTTCGCCTACATGCAATGATTGACTTCTGTGGGAAAGCCTCACAGAGCAGCTCATAGCTCTCTCTCTCTCTCTTTCTCTCTGTGCAAATTGGAAACTGTCTGTTTAAGGACAGGTTGGGAATGACTGGGGCGTGGGAATCAGGTATCTGAAGCCCAATAGCAATGAGAAAGGAAGGCGGGACATGGTGTCCAGCTGTGCCTTGGTTTTAACCCAAAGGAAATCTACTGTTATTTGCATTTTCTGCTAATGCACCATCATCGTTGGAATCCAAACACCCAGTTCCTTATTTTCTGAGCAGAAACCGTAAGAAGGAACTGCGTCATGCGTAAATGATTCTCTCACTTCACGCCTGACCCCCCCCCAACCCCACCAAGAAGTTCATCGAGACAGTCTGGTGCTCGGTGCTGTGCTTCCTCCAACCCAAACCGTAAATTGTGCGCGATTGGCCGCCGCGTTTCGCCCACAAAATACGCAGTCCATTCACTTTACGGCGTATCCTGTGAAGCGCTTTGAGACAGACACGTCTCGGAGACGGGATAAGGCGCTGCATCAGGTGCGAGGATCAGGATTATTATTATTAGAAAGCGCAAAAACAGTAAGGTGCAAAATACGGTCCATTTGCAAAGCCATTGTGCTCAGTTTACACAAGGTGGGTTAACAACACCAAGTGCAAACTTGGGTCTTACAAACAAGAACCTGCATGACTGCCTTGTGATCCAACACACCATATCCCCTTGTGTCTCAGCGCTTTACTGCTCATCCAGTAACTCAATCATTATCGAACAATGTCATCCACCATAACTTTCCAAACATTATTAACCCCGCTTTACACTCCAGGAAATAAAATACTAACAAGGACTTTGGCTCTGAGATTAAAACCTGTCGAGGTTGATCGTGTCCTGAAATAACACCGAAGGACAATGCAGGAGCAGATCAACAAACTTGTTGCTTGTGGTCAGATTATTTCAAAGTTATTGTTCTTGTTCAATACGGGAGAACCGTTAGGGGCTTTGAGGGGTCTCAAAGCGCTTCACGTCTTAAAGCGCAATATTTCAAACTAAAACAGTTGCATTTTTACAAGTCAAAGACCATTCTGCTTACGACTTTCATGCAATTGATGTCAAGCTTCAGATGTTGGGTTTTCATTCGAATGAATCTAGAACTTTTGAGTTGGAATTCCAATTTGTGGAAGCTGTTTCCACCCTCAAAATGATTGGGAGAAGAAGGATAGAAAACAAAACAGGTATGCGAAATGTTTAAAAAGTTTCCACCCTGACTAAATGGGGAACAGGAAGGAAGATGAATTTGGGAAAAAAGGGAAGAAACGGTGATTAGTAGTGAAGTGTTTCAATTTTTATTGTATTTGAAATAGCTTTTTCGGTATATTTGTGGTAAATATTGCAGTATTTCAGCTACTACTGACGTTTGAACTATTTTATTACAATAATACTGTTTATTTGAGCTTACAGTGTGAATAGACAAGTCAATTAGTTGCCTTAAGGAGATGGCTATGTCTCTGGAGCAACAAACAGTACAAAGATTAAGACTGGAACGTCACTATTCCTCCAACATTTCTTTCACTTTGGCTGGTTGAACTGTTTAAATCGTTAAAAACATATATGTACGAGAGTTAATTTGAGGTTCTGGTTGCAAAATTTCAGTTTAACAGCGTTGACGTGTTTTGCACAACAACAACTAACCTGGCATTCAGGTACAATTGATAAACTAGTTGAGTTGAGTTTCCACAACACATTTTGATTAACAATACTCAGCTCTGGATTGCAACGCTGTAATTTAAGGAGCTGGAGTCCTGTACGTCACCGATAGATATTTATTTCCTTTGAGTGGGTGGATAACACGCCTGTAGTTCTTTTATTGGCCAACTTTTTCAATGATTATGCAATGGAATTTTTCGAAAATGCTAAACGAATGTTATTCATTTTGGTTAAAGAACGTCACCTAAGATTGGCCTAAATGTTGGTGCCCTGTTTATGCCCACTTTCTTGAGAGCGGTAAAAAAGGTACACCTTTAAAAGATAGCCAATGTTAATGCCCTACGTCACAACATTTTAAAACACAAACTTGTTTATTTTTAAATGACTTTGCAACTTGCAACTTGGCTTGGCTTCACCTTTTTTGATGATAAATCTTGCTCCTATAAGTGTTCTCTTGTAGTCTCTCTGACCATAAGTCCAATGGTTCACCCTTTTCTGCTCAGTAAGACTAGGGATGCGATTGCTGGGTTGTTAGATCTCACGGTAGAGTCGTTTCAGCACTCTGTGCTAGGGTGTGGAATACAAAACAATGCAAAATTATATTTGTGTAGCGCCGTTCGTGTCAGGAGGACATCCCAAGGCACTGGACAGTCAGGGATTTGTCAGGGAATACTAGCCAAGGTTATCCCATCACACAGAGGATACAGTTCAAGATCCTGGTCCTCACCTCCATGGTCTTGCTCCCCCCGACCTCTCCGACCTCCTAACCCCCTACCATCCTGTTCGCTCCCTCCGCTCAGCGGGCTCCGGCCTGCTTCACGTCCCCTGTCTTGTTCGCCCCACTATCGGCGAGTGGGCCTTCCACCACTCTGCACCCACCCTCTGGAACTCCATCCCGCAATCCCTCCGTCTGGCCCCTCCCTCGCCACCTTCAAGACCCACCTCAAGACCTTCCTCTTCAACCATGATTTTGATCTCCCTGCTTCTCCCCCGCACTCCACCCTCCCCCACCTCAGCTCGGGTCCGAAACTGTCTGTCCAGCGCATTGGGACATCCTCCCGACGTGAAAGGTGCTGTATAAATGTAATGTTGTTGCTGTTGTTATTGTTTCTATTCCTATTCATCCTCCAGTCACATTTTGCTGGAAAGTGTCGACGTCAAAAGAATGAAACCTATAAGACTATTTTGCCTTAAGATTTATTTTTGTTCTCAAATGTGGAAAATTCGTCAATCATTTTTAATGCGGAAACTGGTTTTCTATCAGTTCCTAAAGCGAACCAGGTTTCAAGTTATGACTGATGTTTTTTGAAATCCTCAAATCTCAAAATTTGAAGACATAGAGACATCAAGTTTAAGACGTGGAGTCCTGTAGCTCAGTAGTAAGAGCATTCGCCTCGCAAGCGAGAGACCTGGGTTTGATTGCCGGCAGGGAGAAACGTTAGGCAAATTTCCTTTCTCCACACTCCTCTGTTTACCTCGCAGCAAGAGGAACCTGGTTGTAAGTCGATTGGCGGAATTGGCTGCTGCGTATATAGAGAGTCTTGGAAACAAAGATCTTAAAGTCAGTCCTCAAGGCAACAGGGAACCAATGGAGTCTGGCAAGGATGGGGAGATGGGCTATTGGAATGGATACAGGCTGCAGGATTGTGAATGATCTGGACAGTGTGGAGGATTGAGCTGGCAATGCCATGAGGAGGGATTGGAGAATTCAAAGTGATGAAGGTGTGGATGAGGTCTCGGCTGCGTTGGGGGTGAGGGAGGAACGGAGGCTGCTGATGTTGTGAAGATTAAGGAAAATGTACTTGATCAAGGATTGGATAAAAGGCTTAAAGGAGAGTTGAGAGGCAATGAGCAACTGAGAATGTTAATATAGTCAGAACAAGCACTGGTAGGAGCCCAACGTTTAAGGAAAGAATATAAGTAAAGCTTAATGATTTCAAAGTATTGAAATAAGAACTGGAACCCAAAACAGATTATATATAAAATAATCAGAATGCAGTGAAACAGATTAACTTCATTGTATACCTAGTAAAACTGCATTCACATTCTACAAATCTGATGAGTTTGAAAGTTTTTAATTATTTTCCAGACATTCGTGCTTTGATGTGACAGAAACTGCTTGGATCTGTTTCTGGAACCTGTTTTTTTTTAAATGAAATCTGTTTCTGTTTATTTCTCCATAAGCGCTTTGCTCTATTATTCTTTCCATTTCTCTTGCCGACCCCTACATACCTGGCCCCACTTTTTACCATAAACAGTACTGTAGATTGCAGGCTTCTGATGCCCAACAGCAGAGAGATACATACAATATGGAGCTATCACAAAATATCCAGTCAATTCACTTTACAGTATATTCTGTGAAGCGCTTTGAGACGTCTCGTAGATGTGATAAGACACTGTATCAAATGCAAGGAATATTATTACATTATTATTATTATTAACCCAAGATGGAGGGATTGAGGGAGAGAGTTCCAGAATTTTGGACGTAGTGGCTGAAGGCGCGGCCACTGACGGTGGAACAGAGGGCACGAGGGGCAAACAGGAGGTCAGAACCAGCCGGGTATTTGAATGTCGGGGTTCCGCAATTGTCAGACACTGGGGCTAACCAAACATGAGGGCTGACCACTTGGGCAAGGTACTGGAAAGCAGTGACTCAGAGGGTGTGAGGTCAGAAAACCCATGTTCTGCAGAAAATAGAGCCATAGCATGTCAACGTGTTTGCGTTGCTAGTTGTACCGCTTGATAGTCTTTTGTCAAAGGGAATTGACCATCAAATTGACCATCAATCAGCAAGCTCTTGACCTGCGTAACTCCTAATACACTGAAATGTTGTCAGGGCAAACAAGACTGAACCACATAAATGGTTCTGCTGCGCTATTCATTGCCAAAGGTCTTGCAACTTACCCCTCTTTCTTCTGAGATTCAGTGTGTAGCAAAGCAAGCCAAACATGCAGGATGAATTATATGTGGTGCAATTTTAATAATAATCAGTTCGGGTGAAAGCAAATAAATCATATTGCCGCTTTTCAGGAGAAGGAAAACAGACTCTACATTTTGTTTTCGTTTTCAGAATAATGACTCAAGTTGAGTGTTTGTTTTTAAGAGGTATTTGGCATCGGAGTGATTAAAAACATATTAAGTCAATCATTGGCAATGAACCCAAGCAGCCCATAGACTATGAAATAAAACTGTGTAACTCAGCTCAAACTCTGCTCTCTTGGGAGCAATTCAGTTCTCTATCCAATGGATATTCTGTCATGTATGAAGCTTGTTTTTGGATGTCAGCAGCTGACTCAATGTGATGTTCATATTAAGAAATCAAGGAGGCACATTGATGTATCAACAACAACAACAATTTGAATTGATCTAGCAAAATCTTCCCCTCCCCCCAAAAAGAGTCATAATAATTTGGTCACTTCAATCCACGACTGTTTG